CACCCCGAAGCAGAAGGCGGACCCCGGGCTGCCCTAGACAGGCCGCACACTCCCTCGGCACGGGCCCAGGCGGCCGGCACCCTGCGCCCTTTCCCCTGGGGCTGCGATGAGCCCACAGGCCAGGGCACCTCGCTGGACGGCCAGAGGGCCCTCCCTCTCCCAGGGCTGCACCCAGGAATCCGGGGTTCAGGTTATTCCGCAGCCAAGGCCAGAGACCCAGAGAGGACACAGGGCCCATTCTAATGACGTGCAGCCTCTGGACCCTTCATCCCTGGGAACACCCCACTTAGGGCCTCAGCAGGAATACGGGGTCCAGGGCACCCCGGGCACTAATTCACATTGCAGCTTGCGGAGGTGACACCCAGGCCTTGGCAAGGATGTCCCCCGGGCCTCGCAGCACAGGGAGAAGTAAAATGGAGGGGGCTTCTTGGGCCATCCTGTTCTCCCGACCCACCACCCCAGTATGGACAGTGAAGGGGCAGGCCCACTGAGACCCTGCAGCCCCCAGTGCAGCGCTGGGGTTAGTGTTCCCCAATGAGGCCACAGGAGCCCCCGGCATATGAAGCCCAGCTAGGGCCTCATGGCCACAAGAGGTCAACTTAGTGTACACACAGGTCGTTACTGGCTTGTGGGTCGTGGCGACATTGCTCAGCACTCTCCACGGGGCAGCAGCCTGCCCAAGGGGTGGCTGGGCTTCCTTCCACTGCAGTCAGCCAGGTGGGCTCCCCCAGGCAGTGGCTGAGGTGGGCTCGACAGGACATTTACAAGCAACTAGATGGTCAGAGAAGAGACCCTTGGGAGGAAGCAGTGGTGTCCATCCTCAAACAAAGCTGTCCCTCGGGGGAAGGGGAGTCTTGCAGGGCCGCCACCTCAAGCACATCCCACGCCACATCCTTGGGCCACCCTGCCTGCCCCCTACCCATCTCTGCTGGGTGGGAGTGAGAGTCCTGTGGAGGCTGCTTCAGGCAGCAGAAGGCCCAACAGAGGGCAATCCCCATATGGAGTCCTCCTGGGGGGCCCCATCGAGACCCACCAGCAGGGTGGGCGCACACCCTGGGCCCAGCAAGGTCGAAAGAGCTCAGCACCGTCCGCATAGGCACCTCGGTCCCTTGGGCCGTGCCCTGGGCCTCAGATGCTGCGGGCTCAGGAAGGCGCTGGACGGCTTGTTAGCATGCCTGTTCTTTCCTTCTTTATTGAATGACTTTCAAGATGTAACTGCAGTTGAAGGTGACGCGTTAGAAAGGAGAGGTGCATGAAGGCGCAAGGCTGCTCGTAGACCCGGCTCTGGAGACAGGTGGCCGGAAAAGAACAAAGATTAAAAAAGGCTGAGCATGTAGCCTGTGGGGATGAGTGGGTGCGAGGGCGCAGCTCGGCCAGATGGGCCCCTGTGGCCTCCAGGAGAGGCCTGGTGGGGCAGGCAGAGCCCCCAGGCAGCCCCAGAAGCAGAGGGGGACCCTGCCCTACACAGTCCCCGAGGCCCACGCGCCTGCTGCCTACCGGTGACATCAGCCCCAGAAGTAACAGGGAACTTCAGAGTAGGAACAAAACCTCAAAAGTAAAAAAGCTGGTGAGTGTAGCAGAGTGATACTGGGAGACTATATACACAGGTGGTGGCGGCCCCTTCTCAGAAGCGTCCGGGTCACTCTGGGGGCACTGCACGGGTCCCCGTGGCCTAAGCGGCCAGAGCCTCAGTACACCGAGCTGTTCCGGATGCCACAGCAGAGCACCATGCTCAGGATCATCTCGAAGATCTGCAGGGAGGGTGTGGGCAGGGGGTCAGCGCCCGGAGGCCCAGGCCAGTGACCCAGAGAGGACACAGGGCCCGGGACCACCCCACTTAGGGCTTCACCAGGAACGCGGGGTCCAGTGCACCCCGGGCACTAATTCACATTGCAGCTTGCAGAGGTGACACCCAGGCCTTGGCCAGTACGTCCCCAGGGCCTCGCAGCACAAGGCGAAGTAAAATGGAGGGGGGGGGTCCTTGGGCCCCGAGCAGGTGGCCACCCGCCCCACTCACCATTATCACAGCGACCACGATGGCAGCGATGCCGATGAGGTACAGCTTCCCCGAGAAGAGCTCGTCGATCTTCCCGTGGCAGTCTTCCTGCAGGGGGCAGAGGGCGCTCAGGGGGGGCCTCCTTGGGGGGCCCAGGGCCAAGGCACAGAGAGCACCGCCCCGCCTCACAGGCCCCCCAAGAGGTGTGAACAGGGCCTGGTCTCTGCCAGGTTCCCACTTACATCCATTTTAAACAAACATGTTAACAGTGAGCGTGCTGCATGTGCCCTCTCGCACTCAGATCAGTTGGCACCGCCTGGCCGGGAGGCTGGACCTGGGAGGTCACCGGCACCCCCCGATGCTTGAGCTCCAGGAC